ACTGTAAATGCACTTTTTCTAAGTCCTTTTGATTTACCAAAATTGTTACATTTGGTGGAGGAATTCTGTACACTCCTCGATTAATGCTTTGGTAAAAACAAGAATTACTGTTTGACAACTAAGTGGTAAAATTACCCAGTAGCATAAGAATAACATGACACAACTCATTTCTTTGTAAGCTCCTCTCTTTCCAATATTGAATAATGTATTCAAACTATCCTAATCTGAATGAATGGTTCTCATTTATTTCTCTAATTATCAGAAAAGGAGAAACACAAAGAGTCAAAGCACTAAGTGCTTGCAAGTGGATAGGATAACCAAGCAATTCAACAAGAATTGTTGGTCCTTTATTCCCCACCCAAAGTGTAATTTTATCTCTAATATCTCTCTTCTCTACCTTCACAGTAGTACAAACCACCATCTTCTGTTCCCCAGAAAACTGTAGTTACCTCCCAACACCTCTCTGAATCTGCTCTTGTCTTATTTATGTGGCTTGAAGGAATTTTCAGTAGCTTCTTACTGCTTTTAGGAGAAAAGATTAAAATCTTGAATGTGGCTTACAAGGCCTGCCTGGCCTCTGCCTTTGCCCCGTGGCCTACTTAGGACACTCTCATCCTTGCTTGGAGACTCCAGCCACAGTGGTCTCAGCTGCTAGAACACACCAAGTTCCATCTTCACCTCAGGATTTTCAGTCATGCTGTTCCTCTGCCTGGCGCTCTCATACTCATTTTTTAGCTCTCCACATAAATGTCCTTTCTCTGAAAAGACTGCTAGTGAACCTCAACCTCAGTGACATCAGTGTCTTATACTTTATTGTTGTTGTTGTTGTTATATGCCGTCGAGTCGGCCCCGACTCATAGCGACCCCTCCTTGGGTTTCCGAGGCAGTATCACTACGGAAGTAGGATTGCCCAACCTTCCTTCCGAGGAGTGGCTGGTGGGTTTGAACCGCCAGCCTTCTGGTTAGCAGTCAAGTGCCTTAGCCACTAATTACAATTTCATAAATTGTATGTGTGAATTACCTCTTGCCTAGCAACATAGATCAGTTGTAAGCTTCACTGATGGTAGAGATCATGTCTTCTATGTACTGTTTCAATCCCTAGCACCTAGTTTCTACTAGGAGGTACTCAATGAAAGTTTTTAACTGAATAAACTGAAAAGTTGAAGGAAATAATATTCTTTATTAGTAGTTTGGACTTAAAAGGATCTAAACTGAGTTAATTCATACCAGTACTGGCTGACAACTAAATTTATGCTTGGTGTTGGACTTTATTGGGTTAGACTTAATGTAGCAGTATATTTGGAGGGATTGAATTACACAGATAGTTAGCATTTTCTTGGTTAGCCTTTAACACCATTCCTTTCTGAGTACAACCACTCACATAGCCGTTGTTGTATTCGGCTGGGTCAATTCTGGCTCATAGTGACCGTATATAGGACAAAGTAGCACTGCCCCATACAGTCTCCTAGGCTATAATTATAGGAGCAGATCACCAGGTCTTTCTCCCGCAGAACTGCTGGTGGGCTCAAACCATCAACCTTTCAGTAAGCAGCTGAGCACTTACCCACTACGCTACCAGGGCTCCCCACATAGTCCTACCAGCACTAATACACAAAGCAGTTCTTGCCAGTTCTAATGGACTTGAGCCCTTTCCCCAGTTAGCAAAATTTTATTTTTGTTGTTGAGAATATGCACAATGCAATGCAACACAACCACTGCCATGGAGTCGGAGTCAACTCAGAGTGACCCCTCCTTGGGTTTCCAAGGCAGTATTGCCCAACCTTGTTTCCGGGGAGTGGCTGGTGGGTGTGAACCACCAACCTGGTTAGCAGTCAAATGCCTTAGGCACTACGCCACCAGAGCTCCCACAACATACACAAATTCAACAGTTCTACAAGTACAGTTAATTCAGTGACATTGTATTTTTCAAGTTGTGTAGCCATTCACACCCTCCTTTTCCAAATTGTTCCACCACTCTTAAGAAACCCACTACCCCCTAAGGTTCCTATCTAATCTTTCAAATTGCTGTTGTCAGTCCGATCCCATATAAACAAAAAAACTCACTGCCATCAAGTCGATTCCAACTCATAGCAACCCCCTTTGGGTTTCCAACACGGTGAATCTTTATGGCAGTAGATTGCCCAGTCTTCCTTCTGCGGAGTGGCTGGTGGATTTGAACCAACCTTCTGGTTAGTAGTCAAATGCCATAGGCACTGCACCACCAGAGCTGCTTTGATCCCATATCGATAGTTCTTGAAAGAGCAATGCTCCAGACACACTTTCTTTACTAATTAACTTATTTGGTTTAAAAACTTCAGGGGCATTTTTAGTTTAAGATTTAAAGATTATCTCAGGGCAATAGTTTCAGTGGTTCATTTAGCCTCAATGTCTCCAGAATGTATGGATTTCATGAGAAATTGAAATTTTGCTCTGAGTTCTACCTTTAATCAGGATTCTTCTGTAGAATCTTTGATAAAAACATTCAGTAATGGCAACAGGACACCATCCAGTTCTTCTGGTCTCATGGCAAAGAAAGCAGCTGTTCATGGAGCCACACATTTCATTTCCTCCTATTCCTGAACTTTACTCTGTTCCTCCAGGTAAATAAAGACCAGTTGTACCTTGCTCTGGTCGTGTAGTCCCTTAAGGCACTTCACTGCCAACCAGAAAAGGCTGGCGGTTTAAACCCACCAGCTACTCCTCGGAAGATTGGGCGATCTACTTCCATAGTGATACTGCCTCAGAAACCCAAGGAGGGGTTGCTATGAGTCGGATCCGACTCGACTCGACGGCAGTGAGTTTGGTTTTGGTTTGGTGTCCTTGGATGGCTGTTTGCAAGTTCTTAGACCCCAGGAAGTACAGATGAACTGGGTAGAACAGCACTAAGCACTGTAAGAGGCTAATTACGGTATTTTTACCCAATAAAGTGCTTAACTGCTCCCATCTCCTTATCTTAGGTATTTTTGTAATGGCACTATGCTAATTACTTTTTACTGGGTTGATGTCCCATGAAGCCATGATGCTAAACCTCCAAACTAAGAAACCAAATAACATGAGGTATTTGGTTGTATGTACGTAAGCAGCCTCAGCAGCTCCTCTTTTTGTTACTGTGAACCTATCAGTGTCTGCCCACACAAGTTTTTATAAGTGTGCAACTTCAATTACATTAATTGGCAACTCTTCCCCTTAATTCATGTAATTTTTTCATCACTATAAACTGGAACTCAGTGCTCCATAAGCAATAACTTCCTCTTTCCTCCCACCCCTGGTAACCACTAATAAACTTTGGTTATTTCTATACATTTGCCTTTTCTTGTGTTTTTATGGGGTCATACAGTATTTGTCCATTTGTGATTGATATTTTACTCAGCATAACATCTTCAGTTCCATCCATGGTGTATAGCATGTTTCAAGCCTGTGTTTATCCTGCTGAGTAGTATTCCATCGTATGTATGTACCATATTTTGTTTATCCACTTATCTATTGAACAGGTTATTTCTACCTTTGGCTACTATGAATAGTGCTGCACTGAGCACTGATGGACACCTCTCTGTTCTTATCACTGCTTTCAAATCCGTTGGGTTTGTGCTTTTTAATTTTTGTTGTTGTTGTTGTTTTAATTTTAGCCCCCCTTTAATAAGCTGTCTTATGCCGCCCATGCAATGACCAAACTCCCCCTCTCCCACTCAATATTGAGTTCAACCCTTCACGTTTCTCCTGACATATCATTAACAGTGTGTCCTCAATTATGGCACAGATAAACCTGTTTTAATCCAAATGTGGAAAGCTATCTGTGTAAGGCTCACAAGTCACTAGCAGGCCAAAGCACCTTATTTAAGAACCACTGGCCCGTGCTGTTTTTATTCATCAATCTTAGGATGAAGTACCTCTATCTCTCTCTATATGTGAGCATTCTGCTTTTGTACCTGACTTCTTACAACCCCACATTTTCTGTGCCAATAGAACTAGGACTAGAAATAGAATCTTGAGGCAACAGATGACATCAGAAGTATTTGTCTGAAAGATTTTCATTAATTAATAAGTTAATCCACCATATATAGCAGAGTGGCCCCCAGGAAATAAAAATTAAACTGGTTTCCTAGTAAGGCCCTACTATCACTAAGGGGTATGAAGTGGAGAGGCAATTCCATTTATATACTCACTCATTAAAAACTTACAAAGACAAGCACACTTGTGGAAAACAGAGGATACACAAGATGCTTCCATGTCACTGAGAAGCCCTGGTGGTGCAGTGGTTAAGCGCTCAGCTGTGAACCAAAAGGTAGGCGGTTCAAATTCACCAGGTGCTCCGCAGAAGATGAGGCAATCTATGTCCATAAAGATTTCCAACCTTGGAAACCCTCTGGGGCAGTTTTACTGTATCCTATCTATAGGGTCACCTGAATAGCAATTAACTCAATGGCAACAGGTTTGTTTGGTTTGGTACCATGTCGCTGAAGTCAAACAACCATATTCTAGAGCTATCAATTCACAGATTATGAAAGACCAACCTTCATGCCAGTGGTTAAAAAAAATCTTTATTTTACAAAATTAAAAACATAAATAATATTTACAAGCATCTTTAAATACCAGCTTATAATACTTGACATTTTTTAATCATTTCAAATTAAGTTTCCTGTACTTTTTTTTTTTTTTTTTTTTAAATGCAAGACGACTGTTCAGCCACTTCAGGGAGTTACCGGTTTTAATTTCCACCATTCTAAAGGGGTTTTTGGTTTTGTTTTTTTTTTTTAATGGTCCATACTGTAGTCATTTGAAAAATAGAGTGTATGTTTTAAATGACTAGCTTTAAAAAAAAAAAAAAAAAAAGTCCTGAGCTTCTTCCCCCAGTTGTGGGATACTACTCCAAGAGAACTCTATAAACAAAAATCAGATTCCTTTACTGCCCTGTTTACATGTTAACTACTATACTGTAATTTAGAGACTCACATTTCTGGTACTGACAAGAATCCGTCTCCCTAACTTCTCCTCAAGTCTGCTGAAAGGAAAAGCAGGGAAAATGGAGAAGGTGGGAGAATACAGATGACCATCTGAAACCTCATGACTGAAAATACAAGAGATTATAAGCCAAAAATCTGATCTTATTAATTTCCTTCAAGATCAAATCCAGGATATTTTATTTTATGAAAACGTGAAATGATTTCAGATGGTGCACACGTGATAGCAGACCTGCAGCACGATGGAACAAAGGATTAATGACACCTAAGTGGTAACTGAACACCCATACCGAAGTTTCTCATGAGTAACAGATTCAGGAGAATGTTTGCTTTCAAGAAATGTTTTCAATATCTGGTCTTCAAATTTCAGCACTGAGCAATTCATTTCCATACAATACCACATAAAGACTGCCAAAGTGCGAGGAAAGCCAATGTCGACAGGTTCAAAAATTTTAAAAAGAGGAAAAAGAAAAAGAAAAGACATCTCTAACCCACTTCCCAAGAACACCATTTTGTTCCATTTTTCCTGGAAGCCCTCAGCTCAGCTGAGAATCACAGCAAGAAGTCTTCATCCTCAGAGATTAGCAACAAATTTAAAAAAAAAAGAATGACAACAGGTAAGAATATATACATTTTACTAGTTTGTTTGACTTGTCCTGGATATTTAAAAAGGTGTCAAATGAGACATGGATGCTGGTGGCAAGAGGCAACTGGAGAGGAGAGGCTTGGGGTGAGGAAAGGGGAAGACCTGTTTACAAATTCAGAGCAAACGCCCCTCTTCTGGATCTAAAATAAAGACATCTTTTGTCTTCAGTAAAACAGAAGTCTTTCTGCTCAACGCAGATGGTAGGTACAGTTTGCTCAAAAGAAGCATTTTCTCTCAGGGAAGGAGACGAGTATGCACAGACCAGTCAGCACAGTCAGCACCATTCCGGGTCAGGCCCACCTGCAGAGCCTCGCCACCATCACTGCTGCATGTTGTTGATCATGGCCAGAATGCTCATCTTCTCCTGGGCAGAGTCCACATCCTCATTCTGCTTCTGGGCCACACCTGTGCCTAGGCCATAAAGCCGCCCACAGTACTTGGCATCATCAATACTGTCCTCAAAAAATAACTGCAGAAAAGGACAAAGAACCTGAGGGAAGAATCATTCCACGATTCAAAGTCTAAATGCTACCACGTCAGCACCTCTTGGCTGTCTTAAAGCCCTGAAAATCTAGCAAACCAGAAATTAGCAAAGAAAGGCTCCAAATGTTTCCCATACTCAGTCTTTCCATACTCTTTTTGCTAAATATAGGCTCTTCTTGCTGAACAGACATATACATTCCAGAATGTCTTTCACTGCCAGGATCCCTGTGCTGCTATTTCGTACAGCTGGCCTGTCTCCTCCTCTCTTAGTAATAAGCAGTTGCAATGGTTTACAGTTTGAGCTCTAGACTCAGACTAACTTACTGTGTGACCCTTAGAAATTCACTTTCACTGTTTAAGTCAAGGTTTCCTAACCATAAAATGGAGTGATATCATAATAGTGTTGTGATGAGGACCAAGATAATAAACATTAAGCACTTAGAGCAAAGCATCTCAACCTCACCACTAGTGGCCTGGATAATACTTTGCTACAGGGGGCTGTCTAGTGTAGTGTAAGCTGTTTAGCATTATCCTTGGCCAACAGCACACACATAACCAGCACCCCCCAGGAATGAACCTGAAAATGTCTCCAGACATTGCCAAATAGCTCCACAGGAGCCAAACTGGCCCTAGTTGAAAACTATTGTCTTTGAACATTGCCCCATGCATAGCAATAATAACAGCTGTAGTTTATAATGAACAAAAAAACATTATCCTTTGCCACATTCTTTGCTCCACCTCTATAAATACCAGTTGATTTTTCAAAGCAGATTTTCAATCCCTCTACCTCTTCAACTACATTTTAAACATTGAGAGGGCAAGTAAGAAAATTAAAAGAAAAAAAAAACTAAAAGGAAATTCAGTCCTTTCACTAATGAGTTGTAGTAAATTCAATATTTAAAAAACCAAACTCACTGCCATCAAGTCGATTCCAACTCATAGCGACCCCCTTTGGGTTTCTGAGGCGATATATCTTTACGGAAGTAGATTGCCCAGTCTACCTTCCACAGAGTGGTTGGTGGGTTTGAACCTAATGCCTTAGGCACTATGCCATCAGAGCTCCTTAAATTCAATATATAAAAAAAGAAAAAAACAAACTCATGGCCATCGAGTCAGATCTGACTCACAGCAACCCCTCCTTGAGTTTCCAAAGCAGTATCACTACTGAAGTAGATTGCCCAGTCTTCCTTCTGAAGAGTGGCTGGTGGGCTTGAAATGACAGCCTTCTGGTTAGCAGTCAAATATCTTAAGCACTACACCACCAGAACTCCTAAATTCAATATAGTACTGGATAATAAGTATTAACAAATGTGTTCCTACTATAGAAATCAGAAGAAAAGCAAAAAAAATCAAAAGGATTAAAGCCCCTCTGAACACTTATTTCCAGATTTTTGGCTATGCTAGGTGGCCTCTTTAAATGCTTTGTCTTTCAAACTACATTTAATATGATGATTTCCATAACAAAACAAAGCAAAAAAGCTCTCAAAGTGGCCATCACCTTCCAACAGAAATATAAATTTTCAACAAACCTCAGCCCACAAAGTTCGCCTTTCTCAGCCTGTAGACAGGCCCTGAGCTTGGACACAGCTTACCTCTTTCATCCTGAAGAATGCCATTCCCGTCAGCAGGGAGTCTGACCCTGCCTGATGCTGCCTTCCAATTCTCTGCAAATCTAACTGATCAGCAACTTCCTGAAGGCCTCCCTGGAGGTGAAAGGGGAATAAAGTAGTATTACACTCAATACTCTCTACTGGCATAAATTAAGTCCACTCTTAAGTGTTTTTCTTTTGGTGGCAGGAAGTACGAACAGGCCATTTACCGACCTAGCAGTATCCACTTCTAGCTATTAGCTCTTTCCTCCCCTCCAAATGCTACATTATGACACCCATGTTCATCTTAGTATTCACAACAGCAAAAATAAGAAAGCAACCTTAGTGCCTGCCCATCAACGGATGAATGGATAAACAATGGGTCATACATACAATGGAATACTACACAACACTAAAGAATAACAATGAATCTGTAAAATACCTCCTAACATTGATAATGCTACAGGACATTATGCTAAGTGAAATGAATCAATCACAAAAAGGCAAATACACTACAGAGACGAAGTGGGAAGAGAGCTGTTACATTGTGGGGAACTGCAAATAATGTCATAAAACAAAATGTGTAAGAACTGCTGTATGAAAATGAATTTGTTCTGTAAACTTTCACCCAAATCATGATAAAAATTTTTTTAAAAAAAGGACAAATACAGTATTAGACCAGTACTGTAAAAAGTCAAAAGATAATTTACACACAGAAAGAATCATTCTTTGAAGGTTACCAAGGGTTGGAGGGGAAGAGGGAGTAAATCACTAACTATAGTGTAGACACACATTAACTTGGGAGAAGGGAAAGGCAATATATAATAAGGTGGAGGGTGGCATAAAATTATAAAGGTGAAGGAGAAGCACAAGAGTTAAAGGCAACAAAAGTAATTATTATTAGATACCTAATCCTGCAATAACAGTAATAACAATAACCTATGAGAGGATACATAAATAGACACGCAAATTGAACAGGGATGAGAAGGCAAATGGGACCATACCAACAAATAGATACAGGTTTGACAGAGGATATTTCTACATATGTATTGATATATGCTACAAAAATATCCATGAATATAGAAGAACATACCAGGGGCAAAATTATGAAAACTTCTTAGTCATAACCAAACACCTTGAGGGAATGAGTCACTGTGCTCATCCTGGGGGCTCAGGACCATAGTCTTGGGGAACACCAAGGTCAATTGGCATATCATAGTCCACAAAGACAAGATTCTACATCCTACTTCAGTGAGTAGCAAGTGGGGTCTTAAAAGCTTGGAAGCAGCCATCTAAGGTGCAACTACTGGTCTCTCCCTATTCAGAGCAAAGAAGAATGAAGAAAATCAAAGATGCAGGAAACAACTGATCCTAAGGACTAATGGAGCATGTGAACCCCAGCCTCCACAACCCTGAGACCAGAGAATTAGATGGTGCCCAGCTACTACTGCTGACAGCCTGTAAGGGATCACAACAGAAGTCCTAGACAGTGTGGGAGAAAAATATAGAACAAAACTCAAAATCATAAAAAAGACCAGCCTTATTGGTCTGATATACTTTAGGGGGACCCCTAAGACTATGGCCTGGAACTAAACCCACCCCCACAGCTCAACATTCAGTCAATCAATAGACAAACTAAGGTGAAATCTTAGTATTCACAACAGCAAAAATAAGAAAGCAACCTTAGTGCCCTCCCATCAATGGATGAATGGATAAACTATGGGTCATACATACAATGGAATACTACACAACACTAAAGAATAACAATGAATCTGTAAAATACCTCATAACATTGATAATACTAGAGGACATTATGCTAAGTGAAATGAATCAATCACAAAAGGGCAAATACAGTTTAGCTAAACTAGTTAAAAAGGTCTGCCTGGAGCACTATGCTCTTTTAAGAACTCTCTATATAATTGACACCAGGGAGGCGCACTCTAGAATAGTCAACCACACAAGATCAAAAGGGCAGCATTTGCCCAGGAATAAAGCTCAGAAGGCAGAAAGGGATAGGAAAGAAAGACGAATGGAAATGTAAGCACAAGGAGGAGGTGGGAAGAGTGCTTTTACATTGTGGGGATTGCAATCAATGTCACAAAACTAAATGTGTATGAACTGCTGAATGGAAAACCAATTTGCTCTGTAAACTTTGCCCCAAATCACAGTAAAAAGTTTTTTTTTAAATGTTACATTATGTTGCATTCCATATTTTGTTCCTTTCTTTTCTATATCGTTGGTTAATTTTGCTAGACTTCTGTGCTCTAAAGACCACCCTACTGTGCAACAAGATTGAGGAAATAATAGTAAATACTAATCGAATTCTAGATAGCAAACCTCATATGTTAACAATTATTAGGGCAATGGGTTCTTAAACTGTCTACCATTAAGAACCCATTTGAGAATCTGGGTCACTGTAGACTCCATCCGTAACAAACTGCCCACTGTTTCACTAGGTTCAGGTAAAGAATGTCTGCCTTAGTCTGAAAGCAGCATAGGGCTCCCTTTGTGCCCAGGTTAAAGAGAGATACCACACAAATCTCTCAACCAATCAGCTCCATATGACACCATGTCTAGCACAGTGTTAGCACCTAGCAGACAGTCAAAGTACGCATGTTGAACAAATAGCGATAAAACAAAATGGCAAAGGTTTTTTGTTGTTTTTTTTGGGGGGGGATGGGTTTTTTGGTGTTTTGGGGTTTTTTTACCCCCCTCCTTTTTTTTTGTTTTACTACTATTAGGAATAATATTGTATACCTTAAGATTTTTGCAGCTCTTCATCAAGTATTTCACATCATAAATGGATGGGAAAAAAAGGTTCAAAATATGAAAGAATTCATGTTCCTCTTCTGGCAAACGAGAATCTGTAAGCAGCTTTACCATGTAGCCAAAGTCATAGCCACTACAAGGAGAGAATTAGACAGTAAGGTTAAAAAGCAGCAGTCATCAGGCCACAGTGTTCATTATATTTCTCACAGCTTATAAGACTGCCTCATGTTATAGATTTTTGCAGTCTTATATTCCAAAGTAGTTTACCCTACTAAAATCTGGAGTTTCTATTAAATATAACTTATATGGTAGAGAAAAGGGTTCAGTAAGTGTGAGTTTTAATCATCAAAAGAAATTCAAAAGTCCATGAGACCAGAACTGGATGGTGCCTGGCTACCATTACTGAATATTTTAATCAAAGATTCCATAGAAGGAAACTGCAAAATAGAATTTCAAATTCTAACAGACTCCAGACCTTCTGGAGCTATGGAGGGTGGGTGAACCTCTGAAACTACTGCCCTGAGATAATCTTCAAACTCTAAATCAAAATATCCCTGAAGCCTTCTTAAAACCTCTCAAAACTGTGAAATAAGTCAATCACAGAAGGACAAATACAGTAGTAATTCATTATTGTAAAAAGTTATGGAAAAGTTTATAGATGGAAGGAAACTTTCTTTGTTGGTTACTAGGGGTGGGAGGGGAGAGAAGGGAATACTGACCAAAAAAAAAAAAAGCACTGACCCATGTCACTTTAGTTTTGTGTATTTCACTATACATAAATCATATTTTAATTAAAAAAATCCTCTCAGAACAATCATGGGAGAAGGAAGGGCTGCTTATGCACAGGGAGACAGTTCAGGTGGCAGAAGAGTATGGAGGGGTGGACACTGGGAAGAGGTAACTATGGGGAGGAAGTGGGAGGGGAGCTCTTGCATTGTGGTAAACTGTGGTCAATGACATGCGACAAAGTATATGTGAAATGCTGTATGGAAAGTGAATTTGCTCTGTAAATCTTCACCCGAATAAAAAAAAAAAAAAAATCCTCTCAAAACCGAACAACAGTTTAGCTAAACTAGTAAAAAAGGTCTGTCTGGAGCACTATGCTCTTCTAAGAACTCTCTATATGAGATCAAATTGACAACAGCAACTCGAAAGACTAGATAGGACTCATAGGCGGCACAAAGTTGATGTTAATGAGGGAGGAACAACTCAGAAAAAGGGTTAGAATGGGTTACACAACTTGAAGAATGTAATCAATGTCACTAAATTGTATATGTAGAAAATGTTTAATTGGCTTTATTTTGCTGTGTATATTCTCCACAACAAAATAAAATTTAAAGGAGAAAAAGTATTGAAGAGGTAAATAATATCTCCTATTGGGAATCTGAAGAGCTCTGATAGCACAGTGCCTAAGGCACTTACTTGACTGCTAACCAGAAGGCTGGTGGTTCAAGCCCACCAGCCACTCCTCGGAAGGAACATGGGGCAATCTACGTCTGTAATGATACTGCCTCAGAAACCCAAGGAGGGGTTTCTATGAGTCGAGTCTGACTCGATGGCACATAACAACAACAACAACAATTGGGAATCTGGGAGCTCTGGTAGCACAGTGGCTAAGGCATTTGACTGCTAACCAGAAGGCTGGCGGTTCAAACCCACCGGCCACTCCTCGGAAGGAAGATGGGGCAATCTACTTCCATAGTGATACTGCCTCGGAAATCCAAGGAGGGGTCACTATGAGTCGGGTCCGACTCGACGGCACATAACAACAATAACATTGGGAATCTGGCTTTTGAGGACCTGGAAAAATTCCAGGATACCCATTTAGAAAACGAGAAAAAGGCCAATTCTGACATAGGCCCCCACCCTCCATCTTTTTTCATTTGGACATATCCCCTAACAGGCACATAACAGACTCAGATACCATATGAAATAAATCAGTCTGAGCACCAAAACATGAGCCATCAGCTACCACTTCAACTTAAAAACTGCTACTGATAACAGGAGAGAGCCAATAGGACCACAAAAAACATTAACAATTCAATGTCCTGTTCCTGTGAGGACCAAAGCAGAAGAGAGAGTACACATTCTCTGGGACAGACCTGTGAAACGAAAGCCATTTGACATTGTCACAGAGAACCACTCCCGAAGTCATAAGCAGCTCTGCAAAGTGCAACGTGTCAATGCCTTCCTCTTCATGTTTCTGGAACTGTAGTCCTGAGTTAGCAAGGAGATCTATGGAATCCTGGGAGTACATGTCCTCTCTAAAAAACAAGGTATTCACTTATTAGCAGGTGGATAATATAACAGAAGTAACAGACAATAATGTTACCAACACCTCAGGAACCATATGAACAACAAAAAATTACTGCTGAGTATCCTGGTGCCCATTCAACAAAGCATATTAAAGAACTGAGCCCAATAAATAGACTCACAGGTCCTGCAATCAGCAAAACAAGTCTCCCCAAAATGTCCCCTTCATCCTCAGCCTATATGACTATGAGACCAGAAGAACTAGATGGTGTCCTGCTACCACTATCAACCACTCAGAGAGTGACCTATGTAGTAGGAGATCCTAGATAGAGTGGAAGAACAATGTGGAACAAAACTCAAAATTATTAAAAAAAAAAAAAGGGACCACATCTCCTGGTCTGATAGAGCATGGCAGAACCCTTGGGACTCTGGCCCCTAGCTGCCCTTCAGGTCTGGAGTTGGGCCCACTCCTCTGGCTTCCAGCCAAATGACAGGCATATGAGCTGAACATTTACATTAGGTAGATACACTCCCTTGGAGAGAAAAATCATGGGAGAAGGAAGGGCTGCTTATGCACAGGGAGACAGCTCCGGGCGCAGGAGTGCATGGGAGGGAAAGACACAGGGAAGAGGTAAGTATGGGGAGGAAGCAGAAGGGGAGCTGTTGCACTGTGGTAAATTGTAGTCAATGTCATGAGACAAAGTGTATGTGAACTGCTGTATGGAAAGTGAATTTGCTCTGTAAACTTTCACCAAAATCACAGTAAAATTAAAAAAAAAAAAAAAAATACCCCTCTCAAAAAGTTAGATCATCATTTACCCACTATTAGAATGGCTTCAGATTTAACTACCCTTGACCTTATTTCTAAACCTTATTTCTATTATGATAGGTATGATAACCTTGTTTTACAGAAGGTAAAATGCCTGACTCAAATGACCCATCTAGGAAATAGCAGAACTGCAATTCAAACTTTGACCTACTAACTACAACTGGGGACTTGACTTTTTTTAAAAAAAAAAAAAAAAAAACAGCTTTACTGAAACATTAACTCACATACAAAAACTCACCCATTTAATGTGTATAATTCAATGGTTTTTAGCACATTCAGAGTTGTGCAACAATGACTACAATCAATTTTATAACATAATGAAATACCCATTAAGCATTCATTTCACAATACTCTACAACCCTCATCCTCTCCTGCTCTAGACAACCACTAGTCTACTTTCTGTCTGTATGAATTTGCCTATTCTGGACTTTTTATATATATGGAATTATACAACATATGGTGCTTTGAAATGAAAGACTGGCATCTTTCATTTAGTATGTTTTCAAGGTCTACTAATGTAGCATATTATCAGTACTTAATTCATTTTATTTCTGAAAACGATTCTACTATATAGATAAACCACATTTATCCACATTTCAGTTCAAAGATAATTATTTCTACATTTTGGTTATTATAAATAATTTGTGTACAAACTTTTGTGTGGAGATAATGCTTTCATTTCTCTTGGGTATATCCCTAAGAGTGGAATAGCTGCATCACATGGTAACTCTATGCTTAAATTTTGAGGAACTACCACATTATTTTCCAGAGTGACTGTATCATTGTACATTCCCACCAGCAATGGACAAGGATTGTAATTTCTCTACATTCTTTCCATCACTTCTTTTCTGTTTTTGTTTATTTAAATTAAGATAATCCTAAATGGTATGCGGAAGCTCTAGTGGCGTGGTGCCTAAGGCATTTGACTGCTAACCAGAAGGCTGGCAGTTCAAACCCACCAGACACTCCTCAGAAGGAAGACTGGGCAAGCTACTTCTGTAATGATACTGCCTCAGAAACCCAAGGAGGGTTGCTGGGACTCACTCGACTGCAATGAGTTTGGTTTTATTTGGTTAAGTGATATGAAGTGACATCTCACTGTGGTTTTGATAAGCATTTCCTTAATGACTAATAATGCTGAGCATCTTTTCATATGTTTATTGGTCATTTGCTTATCTTCTTTGGAGAAATGCCTATACAGATCTTTTGTCCATTTTAACTGGTTTATTTGTTTTTTAACTGTTTTAAAAGAGACTTTAATTCCTGAGATTCCCTATCCTATCCTCTGCTTGATGGCGCTATCCAACCCCTACCTGTGGTCAGTGGAAAGAAAACTTAAAATTAATCAAATCAGTCCATACAAATGTAGCATATTTAAGAATAACTGAAAAGTGTCTCAGACACTTACGTAAGGTTGAATTTGAAGTTGAATTGCCAAGTGTTGATTCCAGAAGGATATTCTCCCTTCTCATTCGTGAATGTAAGGCCCAACTGGATAATTTTTAAAAGGTCAACATTGCACCGAAGAAGCTGATATTGATAATCTATGGAACTTCGAAATTCACCAATTGGTCGCACCACAACACCTGGAAATTCTGTGTCCTGGAAAATGAAAAAAATCTTTCACCCTAAGGTTTCAGAAAACAACAGATGCATAATTAATAACTCATAAATGAAAATTTTACCTCAATTTATAAAAGTTATGTGACAAGCCCCCAAGCTTGGGCACAAAATCTATCTTAAAATAGTGATCTTGCTGATATCTACTGAAGGAGCACTAGAATCATGAAGCTTGGCACAACAACTTGGAGATCCTAAGCAGGATGTGAACAGAAGTAGTTTGAATAACTATAGATGGATACACAATCAATTAAGAACATTCTAAGTTGAGAACAATACATAAATAAAAACACAAGTATAGGAAAGTAAAACGGTAATTCACAGGGAAAAAAAACATAAATAGCCAAGTTTAGCTTGAGTAAAAAGACTGGGACAAGATCATGAGAGTTCTAAACACCAGGCTAAGACTTCATTCAGTAATATCTACTGCAGGAGTCACAAACTCTAGGCAGCTAAGGTAAAGGAGTAAAGCAAGCTGGATGTGAAGACGGGAACAAGTAATGGGGACTGGAGCAAACTAGAGCACATGCCTCATCTAAAGGAAGCCCTTGACATTACCATGACACTCATCTCCCCTCTCCAGCCACTCGGTGCCAGGCAGGAATGTGGACCCTATATTGTCAGGTCTTCCCATTTTCCCAGAGATGCCAGAAATCTGGAATTTAAGTGAGGTCTCTTGATTTTTAAATGCTGGCAACTAACATTTTAAAAAATTTTAACACTATACAGTTAATTCACCATTATCTGTGGGGCAGATGTGTCCTACAGGCTAATATAATTCTGCTTTAAAAACTTCTGAACACAAAGTAACACTATAAAAATCCAAGAAACTCAAGGTGACATCCTTCTCAGGTACAGTGGCTACCTTAAAGTTTCATAAAAGCAAGGCAACCTTTTGTCTAGTTTATCGAAACTTTACTGTAATATAATTATTTCTTTTGAAAAATCTCATATTAAACTCATTCCCTAAACCCATTTCACACCAGAAGGTGAATGAGATAAAGGAGGCAGAGCTCTTTACCATGGCAATATAACTGTAACTGAGCACTATTTCTCGGATCTTCCTCATCTCTTCTTCTAGATTGCTGGCCCAAACTTCACAAATAACCTGGCTGTTCTCCACTAGTGCTGCAGGCATCCTGAAGAAACCTGAGAAATCCCCTTCAGGTGATTCTGTTAGAGGGCACGCCAGACAATGGTTGATCTGATCTGGATTGAAAAACATATTTGAAATCCTTAAGTATACACACAACACAAACACATCAAAACAATATTTTACCATCACTTCATCAGTTTAGGCTAAAATAATAAGACCATTATATTTATTCTCCATTTTACATAGGAAAACTTGCTTTGTCAAGACACATACACAGCTGTCTTGAAGAAACTGAAACCAACTACTTTTGTCTAAACTGCTCTTTAACACAGAAGTGAAACCACTACCATAAATCCAGTTTTTCTCTATGCTAAAGACTAAAATATCCCCTAAGTACACCCACTGCTGTCAAGTCGATTTTGACTCACATTGACCCTACAAGACAGAGCAGAACTGTCCCATAGTGATTCCAAGGCTGTAAACATTTACAGCAGCAGAATATCCCATTTTTCTCCCACTGAGTGGTTGGTAGGTTTGAACCACTGACCGTTTGGTAAGCAGCTGAAAGTTTAACCACTGCACCACCAGGGCTCCCAGTCCACTATATAAGGACCACAAATATGCCCTTATCTGTGCTTTCACATAACTGTGCAGAGACACCAAATCTTGGAAACATCTCTAAAACAATCACTTTAGCCATTTCAAATGTACATGGGATCCTGAGAGTCTGAAAGCAGGTGAACCTAAACTCTCACTATTAAGCTCTTACACTAAGTCCTTACACCCAGATGATGAATATGGGCATGGGACTCCCCTCCCTCCCACAAAGAAAGGAAATTCTTTTCCCTAAAACCTAAAAGTTAAATACAATTAATTAGAAGCTAACTAATTTAATATAGTGCCTCTTCAAATTTATGCAAATATTTCATGAAGTGAGGGATTAAATGGTTAGAAACTAATCCCATGTGCTAATCAAAACTTTTAAAATCTACAATGAAAATCAGAATTTGAGCTGTAAATGTCCACTTTTAAGCACATAACATTGTAAAGAAACTAAACAGCAACTCAGCAACAAGAATACAGAAGATGGCAGATAGAAATAATTCAACCAGGGACAAAATGGTTTACGGTGTATTTTCCAAGAGGAAACTGGGGAGGGCAAAGTATTCTGCAAAATAAATTCAACACAGGAAGGCCTAAGAGTAATGTTGTTATTATGGCAAACTCAACATGAGAAGCTTTTTCTTTTTTTTTAAAAGAGCTTTTCAGCTTACCATAACAGTGTTTACCTGTAAGACAACCCCACAGCAATGATCCTCAACACAATATGGGAATCCAGCGTATATATTCAGGAGAATATTCCTAGAAATGGCAAAATGAATGTAAGTAATTCCCAAAGAACCATGGAAGGAAAACCTTTTTACCTTCAAGATAGATACAAAAATGGGAATTTGAACAAGACAAAATTGGCAATTTCATGTGTCATCATTTCTCTAAGAAACTTCTGAGAAACCAATCCACTGATTTGTCAACAACCCTTAAAGATTCCATTCTTTTCATGGTAACCAGCACTTTTACAAATGCTTCCCTGAAATTACAGTTGTTAAACCTAAGTAGACTATATGATGTAGCTCCCCAATAAATATAGGCAAAATGGATTCATAAAGTACTTCAGGGGAAGTGAATATCACTGCTGGGCTTTTGAAAGATGTTTCCATAAAAGCAAAAGTAACAAAAGGAACCCAAGCAAAAACTGCTTTAGGCCTTCATGCAGAAAAGAGCAAACTAAAAAAATTCGAAAGTATTTATACTAAATTCTTAGAGCCAAGCTCCTCAGCAAAGCAACTTTATAAGACTACTAGGTTTTTGTCGAAAAACTCAGGAAACAATTTGAAGATGCTCTCATTAGCCAAAGAAAAAGCAATATGGGTTCTGGCAAGATGGCGGAGTAGGCAGATAGACTGCACAGACCCTCTTCAACAAAGAAAAGGGAAACCAATTAACACAGACACAGAAGATAATCTTGGACCCCTGAGCCTTGAAGGGAATGATACAGAA